ATTTAGACCTCGCAGAGGGAACTACCGTAAAATCTTCGATGATTCCCTGTTTGCCTGTTATCAGTCTGCTTTCCCTGGTGACCACAGCTATTTGGGGATTCTTTCTAAACAGCAGGTGGGGTGTCGTGTGTGTGTTCGTGGGTGCTGATGCTTGACAACCATAGATAGACTGCTGGCTTTTCCTGTATGCATAAGTGTTTCTGTGCATGACCCACAGTGACCATCGCCCTCTGCTCGCCCCCAGCTCTTATTAGGTATTAACAGCGAGGCAGAAATGCAGAAGGGTCGCGAAATAACATTGTCCAACCGGTGTACATAGGCCATCACTAGAAAAACATGCCCTTTCTCTGTGTATCAGATGGGGGGAACACATTAATTGATCACTTATCTACTGTAACAACATAAAAAAAAAAAGCATCTCTTTGTGGGAGGTTCGATTTTGTTTCTGATTTGTTTATGTTCAACCATGGAGGTCCTTCCCGCGCTTCTGGGAACAAGAGTGTGTATGCATGGAAAAATTTCAACATAGTGGTAGGGTATTATCACGACGATCGAAGTGCCACCTTTATGTGAAGGAAAACGAAAACAAGTTCCATAGAAGGAGGGATGGGCTTTTAAGGCCCGGGTCTCCGGCCCGTGCGCGCGGTGTCCGTAGGCACTTGGCAGCGCCTGCCACAGAAATAGTGCTACTGCAGATATCAATCATTTTTGAAATGTTTTTGTTGTTTTTTTTTAACCTCCTTCCTTACCGATTCATTGTCCTTTCCACGATGGCCTGGCTGCCTTCGACATTTCCCAAGACCGAGTATTCAGTGACGAAATATCGACGTTGTGGACTGGCCCTGCGAAAGAGTACAAAAAAAATCCAAGAGCCTCAACCAAGCCTTGTATCAACAGGCAAACAAGATCTTTAAGGAGTTCATTGATATCAGGCACCAGAGAGGTGTGTGTTGTGTATGTGGGTGTGTTTTTTCCCCTAGGGAATGATTTAACATCAATATATAGTCCTCTATATGTTGGTATATTTATACGCTGACCTGACCTTGTTTCCTTTTCAGAGTTGTTTGTTCCCTTTTCTGTTGTACTGAGAAACAAACATTCTTAGCAAAACCATAATTTTTTAGTATTTTTAGGCTATTTTTGCTCTAAAAATCTAAATTTCACTAGTTACTTTTAGCATTGATCTGGTATTATTATTATTATTATTATTATTATTATTATTATTATTATTATTATTAAGTTGTGACCATTGTTGGACAGATCTTCTTTCAAAGCGCATTGACTGGCTAACTTGATGAACCCACCTCCTGTTTGTTTGTTTGTTTGTTTGTTTGTTAGCCTCAATTCCTGTTTTAGTTTACTGACTGGCTCCCAATAACGAGTACCCTGAACTAAATCACAAAAATAGGTAATTTGTAATTGCCTCCTCAAATTAATCAAATGAGTCTTATGTGATCTGCCACTGCCATAAGTAAGGTTATGGAACAATCATGGTCTTGGTCCTCACAGAAGTATCATCTTTCAAGACATCACACTCAAGACTGTCTGTCTGTTATAACCACCTGATTTCAATTTTCACTGACCTCACTAAATATGCAGCAGTAAACGTTTATCAAAAGCAAACATTTTGGGATTGGGCCTTTTGCAGGTTTTGTGGGCATCGCAGTTTCTCTGACACACTTGGAAAGCGAGCGGTATTCACATGGTTGTAATCTGCTAGATGCCATTAAATCACACTGGTCCTTTTTTTTTAAGAATCATGTTGGTTATGTGTAGAGTGTAAGTGTAAACATATCCAATTTGTATTCAAGACAGACTGAATACTTGCTAACGCTAGCTATACAGTTCATAAATTTTGACCAATTCAGCGCCACTACGTACCTGCTTTCTCAGCATTAAGCTAGCTATGTGTTTACACAGGCATGGGGGTGTTATTGTCATGAGACCGACCTTCCCCTTTCAAAAGTTTGTATTTGCTCTCCGTATCCTGGCAGGTAAACATTGACTATCGCACTAGAGAAAAGACTAAGCAGAGCCTGGAGGATCCGTCCCCAACCAGCCTCAACGAAGTCCAAGCTAAAGTCTACAGCCTCATGGAGAAAGACTCCTACCCACGATTCCTTAGGTCCAAGATGTATCAGGATATGGTCAACAGGGCGCATGCACAAGGCCAGCGGAGGTCTGTTTGACAGAGTCTGAAGACCACAGAGGACATAAAACTGGACCTATACTGTAAATCCTTCATTAACCCTTTGACATCTCTGAATACTGTGAATCAGAAAGGATGGGGCGACATGCTTGACTGTTTCCTTTGTCTACACCAGCTCCATGCATGAAATCCCTCTAGAAAAGACATGTGTTGGTGGATTCCACTGTACAGTACATAGAGGGAGATTGGATGAGGATAAGTCAATTGTTTTACCTCTACATGGTTGAGGGTGATATATTATCACAATAAAAATGACCATATCATGTAATAACCATATTTATCACAATATACACCATTTCTGCTGCTTTTTCTTTGAGATGCATCAGATAAAATCAGACAGTCACTGTGTCCTTGAAATGAACTGGTTGAACAAAAAAGACATTTAATTAAACTAGAACGATTAAATATAGCGAGAAACAACCAGTTCTTGATCTAGTAAAACCATTTTTTGTAATTTAAAAACAGATATTTTACATATATAAGTGTCGCTGTCGGGATGCTCACCTTTTTAATCTCTAGCTAAACTTTGGGAAACTCGATTGACATTATTTCTCCGTACTATTTTTGAATCGGCCATCACTGTTCATACTTTACTAAACCACACTATTCCATAGAAGTATAATTGGCTGCCGAAAAGGGTAATAATGTTAACTGATGAACAAGGGTATTGGACCAAAGGTACTGAGATGATTTTATTCCATCATCAAGAAAGAAATATATTGAGATAAATATCATTATCCTTCTATTGCCCAGCGCTAGCTCTACTTAACTTCTGTACTTTGTGAAATAGACACTGTCGTATGCAGGTGACTATACATGTTGTGGTAGTTTGTGTTTACAACAAAGAAAGTGAGTGAACACTTTATATCTGAAACTGTGCCAAACTAGATTGCACTTACAGTATTTAGCTACATAACCCTGTGTGTTGTAAACTCTTGCAGGTATATGTGACATTAGATGTGGAGTATAATGAAGGGTTGGGTTTATTTTTGCTTTGAATTCACGCTCTTTAGAAGGTGGAAGAAGGACTGTGCTGTAATCCCTGTTGAACTTGTTCTGTATCCCACATAAAGCACATCCTATTGGACCAATCCTGTGTGGCTGACCTGGATTCTGTAGTGAATTATGATTATTCATATAGTCAAGGTTTGATTAAAGCCATGTCATTGAACTGTCAATTTCTTTGGGCTTCTACTGGTCAATATTGGCTTTAAAAAAAGTTTGACAAAATGGGTCCTTATTTGTATGATGTTTGGTCATGAAATATCTTGACAAAATAGAAATGTATAATTCTATTAAGTACTTGAGTGTTTTATTTAACTGAATATTAAACCCTGGTCTCCCAATCCTGCAAGTAGTGAACTATAAGAAACCCCAATCCCCCCATAGAATCTGTTTTGGGTTGAAAAACGTGATTTCTTAAATTATTTTCAGCATGAATGCAACACTAAAATAACTATTTAGATATTCTTGTACAGTATGTTATGAAAATGACTGCAAAATAAAGTACTTAAATCTAGAATATGTCAGTAACATGTCAAATGTGTTTTGAAATGTGCTCCCTCGGCATATGCACTCCCTTTTTTAAATAAGGTGATTGAGAAGATTTCTTGAGTATTTTGGGAGGGACAAAGATTTTCTTTATTGCATGTGTACTGTATAGGCCACCCTGTTGGAAATACAACAAAGCTGGCTGAACAACATATCACCCTATACTGTATGTTACTGTGTTCCACATGAATGTAACCTCTACCCCTATATTTTACGATTAAAAATGAATCTGGATATACATATAATATTTTGTGCACTGCGTGACTTCATTCTCATTATACCAAAAGGGTATTAGAGCTATGAAAATGCATTCATCGGATTGACCTTGATTCCAATGCCAATGAAACAGACAAAATATCAAAAATCTAATAAATGAAAACCCAGTCCTGAATCTGGGGTGATGCTGCTTTTTTAAATCAAATTTTTTGAGACGAGATTTAGGATTGTAATGTCTAATCTATATTTACCATTCTACTGGAATAACAAGCAGACAAGGAATGAAGTGAAAATTTAAGTGACTGGCTGAACAGAGTCAGTCCATTGCTTTACGAATGACAACAAATGAAAAGAACTTATACCCAAAACTTCACATACAACATAGTCATAAATTTAGTCCCATCCTAGGTCAGATCTTGCAGCTGCTTTTTAAGAACGATGACTCACACAAAGAATGATGGAAAAACTAAAAACAGAAAAATAATCAAACATTCATGACACTATTTCTGTTTAGCTGGAGCACCATTCACGAGAAAACCACTGTTCTCTACTGTATCTGGGGCACTGGTGGGATGCAGTCGCCCACTGTGACATTACACATCCATTAACTTTGCTGTTGTTGTCAATGTGTTAGTCACTCAGGGAATGAGGAGCATGGTGAATGTGGGACAGCGCCCTGCTCAGTAGACAACACAAGCCTATCTGGGCCAGTAGACTGCAAACACAGCCAACAGACATTTCACTGTGGAAGAGATTACAAGCTGAGTGTCAGCTCGGCACGTAATGATGAGCGGTGCAACCTGTCTGTGGCTATGAGTGTGTAAATGACTCTAATGCAATTGGGCATCAGAGAGTGAGTAAATCATGTGCAGGTGCTTTTTTTTTTTTTTTTTCATGGAATCTGTTATCAATGCGGATGCTGTCTTGGTGCTCCTCTGTTTTAAATACATTGTCTTTCGCATGATGGGTTAAGGCAGCCGAAAGGCACTACTTTATAAATAGCAACAGGATGAGTAACTCTACCTGCTTTCCTGTGCAAACCTTGTATTTTGAAAAGTAAAAAGGCCTTATTGGCTTTAAACAAACAAGAAAGAATTATTATTATTATTATTATTATTATTATTATTATTATTATTATTATTATTATTATCTCTCCTTTTTTATATTTGCATATATATAT